AGCTTCTCGCACTTAGGATCGATGATCCCGTGAAGCAACAACAAATGGGTCTCATGCAAGAGAGTCTAAGCAAGTTGTCCAGCGACTACAAGTTTCAAGAGCTTACATCACAAGGGGTCTCGGTGGACAAAGATCTTCTTCCGCAGAAGTTCAACGCCAACGACATCCCAAAATTCAGAGCAATTGACAACCCTTACTTTCATTTAAGAGCATTTGAAACAATAATGAGTATCAAGGGTATCGATAAGAAGGTCTTCCCTTCTCTATTCTCACTATCTCTCGAGACCGTTTACCAACAATGGTTCTTTTCTCTCGAGAAAGAAAAGACCTCTACCTGGGAGTCAATAGCAAACGCTTTCGTTGATAGGTACAAGTGCAACATTCAAGTCAAGACTGATCATAGGGAACTTGAAATCCTCAAGCAGAAAGAGAATGAAGGCTTCACCTCTTTCTTTAACAAGTGGAGAGAAACCTCAGCTAAGATGATTGAGGTGCCAAGTGAAAAAGAATCTGTGAGACTGTTCATCAAAAATCTCCAAGAAAAATATTCCAAGCATCTCAAATATCAAAATAATCTCCATACCTTCAAGGCCGTTTATGACATTGGGATCAATATTGAAGATGACTTGGCTAAGTCAAAAGCTGCCAACAATAACTCCAACAGTGGCTGGAAAGGAAAGAAGAACGACAATCCTTCTTCTTCCAAAACCGCCCACTCAAATAATGTTAGCACCTTTAATTTAGGAGAAGTTCTTGCCATGAACAACCAAGGACAGAAGAAACCATTTAGGAGGAACTTCACTCCTATTGGCATGAGTTATGACATCGCATTTGATCGATTAAATGCAAAAGGTCTTATAACTCCTATTGGACCATTTGGGGACCCACCAGTTGAGAAGAGGTCGGTTAACTGGAACCCCAATGCACACTGCAAGTATCACCAAGGTAGAGGCCATCTCACTGAAAGCTGTTGGAAGCTTAAGGAAGCTATCCAAGACCTAATCAACAACAACAAACTGCCGTTGCCCCCTTTCAGTAAGAAACCAAGCAACGACAATGCACCTCTCGCTCATACCCTAGCTATCTCCGATGAGGAAAACGAGGTTGACCCCTCCTCTCTCATTAAACCTGTCAAAGAAATCAGTGCCATAGAAAAAGAAGAGGAGATCTTTTTCGATGTCAAGGATAACCTTCCAGAACCGGCGAATAAGGAAGATATACAACTGCTTACACTGTCTATGAAGGAGGTATCGCAATTACTACGTGAAGCTCTCAAAGTTATGAACGAACTCCATAAGAAATATGATGAGCTTCCACGTCACTGAAAAACCCAAGAAGAGCAATAAAATCTACACTCCAATTGGGATCCCATATGCGCAAATGTTTGAAATGCTCTCCGAGAGTGGCGAGGTCAAACCTCTAGAACCGAGACCATTCGAGTCATTAAAAAGGACAGATAGATATTACTGTCAGTATCATCAATTAGGGGGTCACACTATAGAAATCTGTTTCAAATTCAAGGATTTGGTACAGAAAATGATTGATGAAAAGAAACTAGTCCAAGTTCAACAAGAAGAGGATACAACCATTAATGGAGTTTGGGACAGTGATGAAGAAGATGTCTATCTAAAGGACATAATAGGACCTTTACCTTCTGTGTCATACACCACAAATGACATTTGGGGTGAAGAAGATTCATCAATAGATGTTCTCACAAGATCTGGGAGAATGCAACCTCTCGTTTCAACACAACCTATACCAACCATACACCAAGTTCCCATACCTATCATCGAAGACAACGACATTGTTAAACAGTTTAAGAAGACAAAAGTTGAGATGAATGTGTGGAAACTTCTGGTAACATCTCGAGAGCATAGGTTGGTTGTAATGAATGCCTTGGATAAAATCGGGATAGATTCTGACACCACTCCTGAGGGACTAGCCAACTTCCTCACAAGTGACCTTCCTAGTCCGATTAATTTGATCACCTTTTCTGACAAAGATTTACCCCCCAGAAGGTGACAAACATTACAAGGCATTAAACCTCACGGTAGTTTGCAAAAGGATGAATGTTCCTATGACTCTTGTAGACAATGGATCGGCTATCAATGTCTGTCCACTTAGAACTGTGAGGATGCTCGGCATAAGGGATGAAGACTTAACTCCGTCCACACCAGGAATAAGAGCCTACGATAATACTCGTCGTCAAGCTCTTGGCAAAATTACCCTAAATGTAACGGCAGGAGCAATAGAACATGCTACTACTTTCCAAGTAGTGGACATCAAAGCTTCATTCAACTTATTGTTGGGACGCCCTTGGTTTCATGATCTAAAGGTCGTCCATTCATCTCTCCACCAACAAGTAAAAGCTATAGTTGGGGGAATTCCAATCACTATAGATGCTTCGCCAATGAGAATCAAATCTATAGAAAATCCAATTATTAATGTGGAACACGACGAGGATGATGAAGACCTATGGGGCTTTAACGAAGAAGTCTCCTTAATCCAGGAGGATGAAAGGACCCCTCTTTTCCAGACCCCCATTCAAACATGATTGTCAATGCAATGCTGAAGAAACAAGGACACTTCCCTGGGATGACTTTAGGAAAGAAGAAAGGAATGACAAAACCACTGGAGTCACCTGGCCTCCCTAAGTTAGACACTTTCGGACTTGGTTTCGAACCGACTCGGAAAGATCTCAAACGAGCCCAGGAAAAGTTGAGAGCACGTAGGGACGCTCGCATTCAAAAGAAAGCAATTCTGATGGATCAGTACCCTCTTACGCTTAATGGTCTGTTTATAAAAGAAGGAGAGGACTATCCAGGCCATGAATATCTCGAGCCATTTGTTGTAAACGGCATAAGACAACAGGGATTCGAAATTTTCTTGGATTGCTACTTCACTAATGAAATCCCAACTTCGTCCAAAAGGAGAAAGCACCTCCATGCTTTGACTTTAACGTCATGGGATTACTGTTTGGGCGAGAAAAGAATGAGCCAACTAATGAAGAAGATAACTCCTCGCTCATTCAAACGGTCCTACAAAGTGAAAGCTTCGACCCCTCAAAGCTAATTACTCCAGCTGAAGGATCACTGCAAGGGTGGCGCAAGATTATCAAAGTGACTACTCCAAGCGGAAGGAAGATATCAATCACGACAGGACAGGGACCGATGTTTGAGGAGTCGTCTGAGTCAGAGTCTGAGTCAGAGTCAGAGTCTTTCCCTCTAGAGTTTTCTAAGTCTTTAGTAGTAACACCTCCCCCTCCTATTTCTTCTCATAGGATAGTTAGTGATCCAGTCCCTGAGGACATATCACTCTTTGATGTAATGATCTCAGAGTACAATAATATTTCTCATTCTTCTTACTTCTTGTGTTCTTCTCTAACCCAAGATGACGAGCATTGCTTAGCTAACGATGAAAAAGACAAAGAAATTATTAAAGCAATGGAAACACTCGAAAAGAAAACACCGGTAATTGAAGAAACTGAAACAGTTGACATCTTGAATGATTCAACTCATAAAAGAGAAGTTAAAATCGGATTAACATTGAATAAACAAGAAAGAACCGATTTAATTAACTTACTTAAAGAATTTATCGATGTATTTGCTTGGTCATATGAAGATATGCCAGACATTAATAGAGAGATAGCTCTAACACACTATACCACTAATTCCTGGAATGAAACCTGTAAAACAAAAGTTACGTCGAATGAAACCCGACGTAGCACTTAAAATAAAAGAAGAAATTCAAAAACAAATAACTGCAGGTTTCATCAAGGTATCCAAATACCCCGAATGGGTCGCCAACGTCGTCCCAGTTCTGAAGAAAGACGGAAGGGTAAGGATGTGTGTCGACTATCGTGATCTAAATAAGGCAAGTCAAAAGGACGACGTCCCTTTGCCACACATCGATATTCTGGTAGATAACACGACAAATCACGCGCTTCTCTCGTTCATGGATGGGTACGCAGGTTACAACCAGATTCTCATGGCAGAAGAAGACATGGAGAAAACAACTTTTATAACGCCATGGGGCACTTACTGCTACACGGTAATGCCATTCTGGTTGAAAAACGCGGGTGCTACTTCCCAACGTGCAGCAACTGCCTTACTCCATGACATGATGCACAAAGAAGTCGAGGTATATGTCGACGACATGATTGTAAAATCAAAAGACCATCCAGGCCATCAAGTAGCCTTAAGGAAATTTTTCGAAAGGCTAAGAAAATATAATATGAGGTTGAATCCATCAAAATGTGCTTTTGGAGTCACCTCAGGCAAGCTCTTGGGATACGTCATAAGCTCTAGAGGAATAGAGGTAGACCCAACCAAGATCAAAGCAATCATGTCCATGCCACTGCCCAAGATTGAGAAACAGATTCGAGGATTTATTGGCCGGTTGAAATACATAAGTAGGTTCATATCAAAACTGACGACGATATGTGAACCAATCTTCAAAAAACTCAAGAAGAATGTACCATTAATATGGAATGACGAGTGTCAAAAAGCCTTTAAAAAGATCAAAACCTATCTCGGCCAAAGAAGAATGTACCAGTAATATGGGATGACGGCCAAAGTAGTCGCAAATCCGTCGCAAAAATGGATTTGCGACGGATTTGCAACTACTTTGGTTCGTTGCCAAAGGCCTCGTCGCAAATCCATTTTTGCGACTAATTTTTGGACAGTCACAAATTTAGCGACGGATTTGCAACGCCTTTGCAACTACCATTTAGCGACTAACTTTCAAATTTTAGCAACTAAATTATTGTCCGTCGTAAAATATTTGCGACGGATTAGCAACTACTTACGAAACAAATTTTTGCGACTACAAAACTAATTATTTGTGACAGATTAGCGACTACTGAGACTAATGATTTTGCAACTAACCAATCAGTCTCTAAACCAAATTTGCAGTCGCTAAATATTTGCGACTGACGATCAATATTTGAGACCATAATTTAGCGACAACCAATATCAATCACAAAAAAAGGTACCCACGCATAAATTCAAATAACCAAAATGTTAATTTTATTCAAATATCCAAAACATCATCAAATTTGTATCAATGTATTAAAAAACAATATTTAACTCAAATGACTAATTGTTTTAAAAGTCACCTCCCATATAAAGAAAGCTACTTCAAATAAGAACCAATAATGACTATGTAAAAAAAAAAACCAGTTGTTCACAAAATTACCACCAAGAAAATAAAAATCACTTAGTTGTATCACGAGACTGTAGGCGTAGGAGGCTTACAAGGACGGTAACCTTGTTTGACAAGTGATAGCATTTCTTGCAATGTTTTTTACATAGCTAATTTTTCCTTCTTCCATGTACCTTTTTCGATCTCATGATTTTCGACGAATTCCTTAGCATATTTTAAGCTCTCTGCCACTATTTTTTGGCTTTCTTCTACCTTATTATGGTTTTCTTCTGCCATCTTCTTTAATTCTTCAACTTGAGAGCTGTAGAAGATGATGCTGTAAGTTGAGAAGCAGGATCGCTCTTGTAATACATTTGTGAAGCACTCCCTAAACCGTAGACTTTTCCTTTCTTTTGCCCACCTACAACCTCCAAATAGACTTTGTCGGGGTTTATCTCAATTCCTTTGTTCTTAATTTCCTCAAGTTTTTCCATATATTCTCCCTGCATTAAGATATGTATTAGTAACTATGATCTCAAATGTTAAAACTTAAAAAGACTAAAAACATAAAAAAAAAAGAAGTTAAAATAAAAAATGCAACACTTATAGCAAAATAATTTATGTAAGCAAATATTGGTTAAGTCCCGTGCCATGCACGGTAATTTTTAATACATATCATTAGTTTAAGACTGCTATTTAATTATAAAAAAAAACCTAATTGCAAAATAGGATGAAATTATGTGAGTAAGCAAAAAATGACCAGCAGATATAAAGACGGTTAGAACAAGTAGAATGATAAGCTCACATGAGCAAAAGGATCACTGGTTTCAGCAGATGAAGGGGGAATCAAGCATGATAAGCTCGTGCTCGTTAACATCAAAACAATAATTTATGTGAGTAAACAAAAAATGACCAGCAGATATAAAGACGGTCAGAACAAGTAGAATGATAAGCTCACATGAGCAAAAGGATCACTGGTTTCAGCAGATGAAGGGGGAATCAAGCATGAACGCCGCATTCTATACAAGAGGTCCCGTCGAAAAATTACAATTTCTTGAGAGTAATACTTTATTCTATTTTCCAAACCAGGAAAACTAGTCAGGAATAGTCATAAAGTACATTATACTCTCATTCTACATGCTTAACAAGCTCCATCAGATGGTTACTATAATAGCATAGCATTAAAAAGGAAGTTAAATTTCCAAAAATATAGAAAAATTGATAAAAGTAATTACTGTCTTATAAAAAAAAACAGAATAGCTTTAGCAAAGCTGCCTCACATCATGAAACAACTGCAGATACGATTAATTGTACCAATTTACCTGCAAGGATTGCTCATAAAAAGGGCATTTGGTATTTCTTTCTGAAGTTCTTTTGTTAGATACTTTGGAAGAGCACACCTTGGGAGAACAGACGAGGGGCCTGATAGTAATAACACTATAACATAAGAATGGACATTGGAGAATGAAATATATACAAGCAACAATAAGTCAATAAACAGAAATCACCTGCATCATCAATGCTAGGAATAAATAAAAACCGGCTTTGCTCTAGTATTCGAGGATATTCAGCAATCATTTTACCAAGATTCCCAAACTGCGATCTTCGTGCAAAATTTTGTCATTTATAGTTGTAAATGCATTAGTATCCTATAAATTATAAGTTAAAAGAGAGAAAGGAACAGGGATAAGCATTAACTCCTTACCTAAGCGAAGCAAAAGAATGAAATGATAGATTACATGGGGAAGAGAAGAAACTCCCCATGAATATGAACAAAGAAGGAACCACCTCCACAGCTTCATATCCATCCAGAACTTCTTTCAGCTTTACCATAGTCTAAGAACAGGGATAATCGAGCTTCATTAAAATGATAAAGAAAGAAAACAGGAAACTAGTAGAAGTGTTAATATCCCATTACCTCTTCGTCATCTAGCCATATGTCAGAAAGTACCACAAACATGTCATTAACTGCTTTTCTTTTCATATCATCTGTGAACCAATATTTGCATTGTTCCTGATGTACACATGCCATTGAGAGGAGGAGAGCTGAACTGAATTAGACCTAAGCTTAATTGTAACTCTAATGTGAAGACAGTATGTAAAAAAAAAACAAAAAACAATATTTCTGGATTTGCAATTGGCAATAGAAACCAAATTAAAATAAAAAATTGAACAAAAAAAACTCAATGATAACCCTAAAATTCGCAATTCCTAATTCTAGTTACTTACTACGTATTATTTTTAAGAATAACCCCTTATAACCCATAAACATAATCGAGAAATACTAATTCCTAATTCTAGTTACTTAAATTCGTATTATTTTCAAGAATAATTCTCGCATCTGTGATATTATCAGATTAAACCAATTTGCAATTCAATCAATAATCAGATTAATATCAATTCGCAATAGAAACCCAATTAAAATAAAAAATTGGACAAAAAACTCAAAGATAACCCTAAAATTCGCAATTGACATATATAATGCAGTAAGAGAAAGATTGAATGGAAGGTAGGAAGGGGAAGAACGCGTAATTACCTGGGTGAAGTAGTGGTGGCGCAACGGCAGCAGAGGAAGACGACGGTGATGCTTGATTTGAAGTTCTGAAACTTTTTTTTTTTTTTTGAGGAAGAGTATGATAGTTCTTGTTTTTGACGGTGAATAAGAGTATAAGACTAATTGATAATTCTTGTTTTTTTTTTGGCGACAATAACCTTTTTTTTTTTAGGAATAAGGGTTTTTTTTTTTTAATTATACTAAGGGTTTTTTTTTTATTTCTTTTTAATAAATATTAAAAATAATAGTAGCGACTACCGTGTTAGTTGCAAATTATTACAATAGCGTCGCAGATTAGCGACCGCATAGCAACTATTATAAATTCGGTTGCAAATTTTGTGACTACTCGTCTTTTTCTATCGCAAAAATATTTTTTGCAACTGATTATTATAGTAGTCGCAAAAATCAGTCGCTAATTAACGACCGCATAGCAACTACTGCAAATTCAGTTGCAAAATTTGCGACTACTCGTCTTTTTCAGTCCCTAAAATTATTTTTCAACTAATTATTATGGTAGTCGCAAAATTCCGTTGCTAATTCACCTTTTTCTTGTAGTGATACATAAAAGAGTACCTAAAAGCCGAGCTCTCCTATGCGTAGGAAAGAAGGATGCACAAAGAGCAATGCGAATAGTCCACGAAGGAATCTGTGGGACACATATAAATGGCAAAATGTTAGTCCAGAAAATAATGCGAGAAGGATATTATTGGACTACAATGAATAGGGATTGCCATCAATACGTGAAAAGATGCCCTAAGTGCCAAATTTATGCCAATTTACAACATGTCCCTCCATCTTTGCTCTACACCTACACATCGCCATGGCCATTCTCTACATGGGGAATTGACATCATTGGCAAAATCACTCCCCCAGGAACAGAAGGCCACGAATTTATCCTAGTAGCAATCGATTACTTTACAAAGTGGGTCGAAGCGCAATCGTATGCTAAACTCACTGCATAACATGTAGTACTCTTTATCGAAAGAAATATTATTTGTCGATATGGAGTCCCACATGAAATGATAAGTGACAATGGAACTCACTTTCAAGCCGAATGTGAAGAATTGCTACAAAAATACGGCATTCAACATCATCATTCTTCCCCTTATAGACCTCAAGAAAACGGAGCAGTCGAGGTAGCTAATAAAAATTTAAAGACTATCATCAAGAAAATGACGGAAAATTATAAGGATTGGCCTAACAAGCTTCACTTCGCATTGTGGGGTTATCGCACGTCAATCCGTACATCAACAGGAAATACGCCATTTTCCTTGGTATATGGAATGGATGTTGTACAACCTGTCGAACTAGAAATACCATCTCTACGCATCGCGTTAGAGAGTAAACTCGATGAAGTTGAATGGACTAGGGCAAGATACGAAGAATTGATTCTACTCGATAAGAAACGACTAGAAGCTCTACATCACACTCAGTGTTACCAAACTCGTATGGCTAGGCATTTTAATAAGAAGGTCAAGACAAGAAATATCAAAGTAGGAGACTTGGTATTAAAAGCGCTAAGGAAAAATATTGTAGACCCAAGGGGTAAATTTAGACCTAATTGGTCTGGACCCTACATTGTCAAAACAATCCTGTCAGGAGGTGCAGCAAAACTAACTGATATGGATGGCAATGAATTCTCAAACATGACAAATCTTGACCAACTTAAGAAATACTACTCATAAGTAATTGAGTAGGATACTCAAGAGAGCTACGTTTGGCCTGATTCCTTAAGAAAGGATACGTAGGCAACCCTTTACGGGTGCGGCCACTTTATTTTTCGACATCTCCGCGTTCCAGAATTAATTAAAAATTCAACAGAAAATCGGCGAATCATCGGCGTCGCAGGAAAGAACCTGGCGCCAGCCAGAAATCATTAGCGCCAGCCGATGAAATTGGCGCCTGGCGCCAGAATTCAATGGCAGGCGCCAAATGCCAATGACTGGCGCCGATTCGGAAATAAACTCTGGGCGAATTTCGGTGTTTTTCGAAAAATTTTCGACTTCCGTACTCGAAGAATTTCTGGAAAATTGATTTTTTTTTATTTTCATTGCTTTAATAAAATAAATTTAAAGTAAACAATTTAATTGAAAGCTAAAATTTCATTAATAAAATAACATTACATTATTGATGGAATTTAAATAAAGCTGAAATAAATTAACTTTAAATAAAAATAATAATCTAAGTCTAATAAATTTAAAGTTAAGCAATGCTCTTAATCTTTCTTTTTCTTCCTAGCTCTTTTCCAATTCTTGTCTGCTTCCTCCTCTTCATCCATAACCTTAGCTAGTAGGCATCATTTAGAGGACCTACATTCAATTTTGGAGTAGATAGTCTCCCCTTCAGCTAACACTCCATGCTTCTTTTCCCTTTATCTTTGGTAGCACCTTTCTTCCTAGGCATTGCAGGTGTTTTGAATTCAATTCTTGCACCTAAGAGTTCCTTGGCAAGAATCACCGTGTCACCTAGACGATTCTTCAAATCGGTTCTACCCTGATCAATCGAAGATTTCTTCAACAACCACTTCTTTACATCATTGGGCAAAGAAGGAGGGACCTTTTGGGTAATCACTTCCCATAAAGGTCTAGCACCCCAGTAAGCATCAAATCTGTCTACTTCTTGAGAAATAGGGTACTCAAAGGGAGGACAAAGATCTCCGGAAGGAATATTGTGAAGCAAGCCGTATTGTCTTTTTACCCTGCAGGGGTAATAATAAGTTACACGAGACACGCTTGGAAGACGGCAGAAAGGTTGCTTGTTGACACCAACCATCCTTTCTATTTTCCACCATGGGACGACCCACTTGATAGAAAAATCACGTGATTCAACGACTTTTCTCCACCCATGGCGCCCAATTTTAGGGATTCGCTTCTTCCTTCTCACGAAGCAATTGGGAGTATATTTCTCAATATCGTCCGGAGGGCTAATTAATCTTATCCTCTCCATTAGCCACATCTGTAAAAACATTGCAATGCAAATAAATTAGTATTACAATACAAAAATATGTTTTTTTGATTTCTGTAATTAAAAATATTATTTTTTTTTACCTGTAATAAAATTGGAGAGCCGCGAAAAGGCGCTTTAGGGTCCCTTTTCAATTCATTCAGACTAATCATAGTCTCTCCAACTATCAATGGCATTGGATTTCTCCTAGATTCAATTTTTTCTAGTACAGTGGTTATAATTGATTGACCTTCATTATTTTTACCACTACTAAGAAAAAATTGGTTAAGCATGCAAAATAAGAACGCCCTTCTTCTATATATATGAAAAGATTTAGAAAGAGGTTTATCAAAATAATGGCGTGCAAATTCTTTCAAGTTTATTATGTTTTCATCCACTATTTTTGTTAAATCCCTTTCTTTTAAATTAAATAAGCGCTCAAAATCCTTATAATAGTATGCGTCTACTCTAGGGATTACTACAAGGTCTATTGCAAGGAAGCCTAAAATAGCACCAAATTCCTCTGGCAAAGGGCTAATCTCATCATACCCTATTCTGAAACAATGAGTATCAACATTCCAAAATTCTAGAGCGGATGTATGAAGTCTAGGTCAAGATCTACCCCTTTGATGCCATAAATTCCCCCCAGGTGAAATAAATCTAATTCTTTTTTGTCTCTAGCATTAAGAGATCGACACCATTCATGAGTGTATTAGGTGAAGGTCTTGGTGACTAAAGACATGATTATTGTTTTTCTAAAGCAGAGAATTATTTTATTCGCTGGAATTATAAGAAGAATCGGCTGGGCAGGGGGATATTTATACACAAATTGCGAAGAATTTTAATCAGAATGAAATACGGAATCAGCGTCAATTGGCGTCAAAACCCCGTGATTGGCGCCAAGCGCTGGCGCTTGGCGCCACACGCTAAGTGTAGCGCTTGGCGCCATGCGCCATAGTGTGGCGCCAGTTGGCACCAAGATGCCAGACTAGCCGCGCGTGCTCAACTTGCGTTTTTAATATTAAACTCGAGTCGGTTAATGACTTTATGGCTCCGTTTATTTTTCCTAAACATCTTTTTTATCCTTTTTTCTTAATTAATTAAAATAGCTATTATTTTTAAATTCCAAACACCCGACATTTTATTCGATTTTTTCCTTTTTTTATTTTTTCTTTTTGGGGGAGAGAGTCAGATACCCTCCATCAATAATAAAAATGACGGAATTTTTGCGCAAAATTGTTTGTCACACTTTTCTTGCACACTCAAACATAATAATAACAATCAAATAAATTCATAATAGCATAAATATACAAAATGTGTCTATGAATAACGAGTTTAAGGCAAAGTTCTAGGAAAATTCAAAATAAAATATACACAAGAACAAACTACGGCGCCGGAGGACGTAGTCCCATCATATCATAAAAATGCGCCGTACGAGGAGTCACCTCTCCACCAGCTCCAATCCCAGCTCCAGTCCCCGTAGGAGGAGGAAGACTCAATATGGGACCACCCCAGCCAGGATCAACCTGAGGTTGAGGCCGCAGAGGCTGCTGCGATGACGCCTATCTCGTACATCCCACCACCTCTGAAAGCCGAGGTAGCCGCTCCTACCGGTGTAGCATGAGCACCCTCAGAAGAAGATCCCGAGCCCTCTGCAACGTCAGCTTGAGCAGCCTCAGAGCGACCGCCTCTACCCCCTGACGAAGTGCGACGACGTCTCGAGCTAGACCTCGCTGGATCCCTCCGCCCCTCAGGTCTCGTGCGGGTGTGAGAAGCAATAGGCTGGCCCTGCAAAAAGAATTAAATCAGAAACAAGATACAATTGAAGCAGCAATGCAAAAATAATGAGTACAGAAAGGCTACCTCTCGTATGACGTCATCCCGACGGCAAGTGGACGCATTCCTCATCCGGACGAGCTGGCTCTGGAAGGCATCTATGCATCGTGCCATCGCCGAAACCACCTCGCGTGAAAACTTTCAGAAAAATAAGTCAGTAAAAATGCATGATATATGAACACAAAAATTCTGAAAAAACTAGGATTACTCGAGTCTGGTGGCGAGGAATCGACCGCTCTACGAAGCGCTCGCCCTCAGGAGCCGGAGAAATCATCTCCTCGATCGGCCCGTACATCCCCTGGTAATGGATGGACATACGGGGTGGCACGAACTCAGCAGCACCGTCCTGATAAAAAAAAAATCAGTAAAGCATTACTTGGGGGCTACTTAGTGGAAAGTAAAGCTAAAAAAATCTTACCCTCACATCCTCAGCCGGTACGGGGGCTGGAGCTAACAAAGGTAGTAGCTCCTCAGCATAACACCGCCCGAGGATCACATGGGACCGCCAAGGGGTACCTGCTCCCTCAGACATGCTCGACAACCGCGCCTCGTCGAACATATGACGTGGTGGAGT